TCCTCACCAGCAGATATACACTACAAAAAATGCTAAAGAAAGTATTTTGGATTGAAGAAAAATGATACCAGATAGAAACTAGGATCTTCAGGAAGGAATGAAAAGCATCAGACATGGGAAATACATGAGCAAACAAACCAGATTATTTTCTCTCTTATTTTTTTTTTTTTTAACACATGTGACTGTTAAAGCAAAAATCACAATGTATTAAGGGGTTTATAATGTATGTAGATGCAATACACAGGACAAGTACAGTATAAAGGATGAAGAAGAGATAAATGGAGCTATCTTGTTGCAAGGTTTCTACATTTTATGTGAAGTAATATAACATTAAGTAGATTGTCTATATTTAAGAATGTATGCATTTGCAAACTATCCATCTGACAGGGATTAATAGCCAGAATATACAAGGAACTAAAACAACTCAACAGCAAAACACCAAATAATCTGATTAAAAAATGGGCAAATGATCTGAATAGACATTTCTTAAAGGAAGACATACAAATGGCCAACAGATGTATGAAAAAATGCTCAACATCAGTAATCATCAGGGAAATGCAAATCAAAACAATGAGATGTTATATCACTCCAGTTAAAATGGCTATAACCAAAAAGAAAATAAAAAATTCTGGAAAGGATGCAGAGAAAGGGGAATTCTTACACTCTGTTGGTGGGGATGTACATTAGTACAGCTATTATGGAAAACAGTAAGGAGATTCCTCCAAAAATGAAAAAAATAGAACTACCATATGATCCAGCAATCCCACTACTGAGTATAATCTAAAGGAAAGGAACTCAGTATGTCCAAGAATATCTGCACTCCCATGTCTATTGCAACACTATTCACAATAGCTAAGATATGAAATCAACCTACATGTTTATCAATGAATAAATAGATATAGAAAATGTGGTATATATACAAAATGGAACATCATTCAGCCATAAAAAAGAATGAATTCCCGTTATTTGTAGAACATGGGTGAGTCTGGAGGACAATACGTTAAGTGAAATAAATCAAGCACAGAAAGACAAATACTATGTGTTCTCATTCATATGTGGGAGCTAAGAAGGTTGATCCCATAGAAGTAGAGAATAGAATGTAGTTACCAGCAGCTGGGAAGGGTATGGGGGAGGGAAGTTAGGGAGAGGTTGATTAACGAGTACAGAATCACAGTTAGATAGGAGGAATAAGTTCTAGTGTTCTATAATACAGTAGGGTGACTAAAGTTAACAATAATTTATTATACATTTCAAAATAGAAGAGAGGATTTTGAATGCCCCCAATACAAAGAAATAATACATGTTTGTAGTGATGGATATGTACACACACACATGTATACATGTATCAAAATATCACACATACCCCATAGATATGTACAATTATGTGTTAATTTTTAAAAAGAAAAAAGGTACGGCTACTATGGAAAACACTTTGACAGTTTGTAATAAGATTAAATATGTTTATATAAAAAAGTATGCTGTAATTGCTAAAGCAAACACTATGAAAATAATGTAAAGAGGTATAGCTAAAAGTCCTGATAAATTAAACCAAAATTCTTTTAAAAAATTTTAAAATTTAATCCCAAAGAAGGCAGGAACACAGAACAGAGGAACAAAAATCAGAGAGAACAAACAGAAAATAGTAAAAATGGTATATCTAAATCCAACCAAATCAATAATCATGTTAAATATAATGGATTAAATACTCCAATTAAAAAACAAGAGATTTTGGCCAGCACAGTGGCTCATCTTGTAATCCTAGCACTGTGGGAGGCCGAGGCAGGAGGGTTGCTTGAGGCCAAGAGTTCAAGACCAGCCTCAGCAACAGTGAGATCCTGCCTCTACAAAAAATTTAAAAATTAGCTTAGCGTGGTGATGTGCACCTGAAGTCCTAGCTACTTGGGAGGCTGAGGCAGGATCTCTTGAGCCCAGGAGTTTGACATTGCAGAGAGCTATGATGATGCCTCTGCACTCTAGTTCTGGCAACAGAGCGAGACACTGTCTCCAAACAACAACAACAAAAACCCACCAAAAAAACCCAAAAAACAAAATCCACCCCCAAAACCCAAAAAACAAAACAGATTTTGAGAATGGGTAAAAAAGCAAGACCCAATTGATATCTTATATTGCGTCTATACAAGATGCACTTTAAATACAAAGACACAGATAAATTTAAAGTATAAGGTAAATGAATGATAATAAGATATAACATGGAAATAAAGCACAGGAAGGATGGAATTGCTATGTTAATATCACATAAAATGGACTTTTCAACAAAGAGTATTACCAAAGCTGAAGAGCGACATTTCATGATAAAAGGAACAATTCATCAGGAAGACCTAACAATCAGAAATATGCACAGAATTTAAAAATACATAAAGCTAGAAATGATAGAATTAAAGGGACACACATAATTCCATAATCACAGTTGGTGATTTTTAACAATTCCCTTTCAACAATTACTAGAATGACTAGACTTTTTTTTTTTTAAAAGTCTGTAATGACACAGACTATCTGAATAACACTATCAACCAACTTGGCCAAATTGACATTTACAGAACAATTTACTCAACAATTGCAGAATATACACATTGAGGACACAGTGTATGCTTACCAAGATAGAACGAACACATGCTGGTTCAAAAAAACCAGTCACAATAAATTTAAATTAGAAATCAGTAGGAATAAGATATCTAAAAAACAAAACAAAAAAACCCCCCCACAAACCCAAATATTTAGAAATTAAAAGATATACCTCTAAATAATCTATAGATCAAAAAGAAAATCACATAGGAAACTAGAAAATATTTCAAACTGAAAGATAATGAAAATACAATAAATCAAAATTTGTGGGATACTGCTATAATAGGGCTTAGAGAGAACTGCATAGCTTTAAATGCTAATACTAGAAAAGGAAAAAATGCCCAGATCAATGACCAAAAGTATCATCTTAAGGGGCCTGAAAAAGAAGAGCAAAGTAAAATCAAAATAAGTAGGAGGAAAGAAATGAGAGTAAAAATCAAATAATTAAAAAACACACAGGCCGGGCGCGGTGGCTCACGCCTGTAATCCTAGCTCTCTGGGAGGCCGAGGCAGGCGGATTGTTTGAGCTCAGGAGTTCGAAACCAGCCTGAGCAAGAGCGAGACCCCGTCTCTACTAAAAAAAAATAGAAAGAAATTATCTGGACAGCTAAAAAAATATATATATAGAAAAAATTAGCTGGGCATGGTGGCGCGTGCCTGTAGTCCCAGCTGCTCGGGAGGCTGAGGCAGGAGGATCGCTTGAGCCCAGGAGTTTGAGGTTGCTGTGAGCTAGGCTGACGCCACGGCACTCTAGCCAGGGCAACAGAGTGAGACTCTGTCTCAAAAAAAAAAAAACAAACAAACAAACACACAAACCACAGAGAAAACTACAAAGCTAAAACTTGGTTCTTTGAAAATATCAACAAAATTGATAAATTCCTCAACTGACCAAGAGAAAAAGAGAAGGAACACACATTATCAACATAAGGAATGAAGACATGTATATCATTACAGATTCCACAATCATTAAATGAATAATAATTAGGAAATATTCTGAATATGGTATGCTAGCTAATAAATTAGACAATTTATAGGAAATAGATACATTTCTTGAAAAACACAGGTATGTCATTTTAGACTTGGAGTTACATCTAAGTCTAATTTGATGGACTAAAGAAACATTCAAGCAAATCAAAAGGAAGGCAAAGGAAGTATTCTAAGAAGGATTCATGAGCCAAAGAAAGGATTCAATGAGAAAAAACTCTAGTTTCTTATATTTAGAAAAACTTGAGGCCATATAATTCTCATTCCAGGGCTACAAATAAGGTTGCTTCAGTTCATGTTATTAGTATCATCACTGAAATAGCCTGAGAAAGATGGAAGGTAAATCTAAGAAAAAGAGCAAAACAAGTTAGTTCTATTTATAATCACCTGAGGCCTGGTAATACCAGTAGAGTATAGGATTATGGAAAAGTGAAGATATTAGGTGGTCTCAGGGTACAAATATGAATAAGTATCTCTAAGTATTTTGAAGTTATTTGTCTCTGTGCAGTTTCTTACTTTAAAGATATAATGTACCTGATACTTCGTCCCACTTTCTGGAATATTCGCCTCTTTCCTTATTTTTTTTTTTTTTTTCCTTTTTAGAGATAGGGTCTTACTCTGTTGCCCAGGCTGGAGAGCAATGGTGCTATCATAGCTCACTGCAGCCAAGGCTCAAGTGATCTTCCCACCTCAACCTCCTGAGTAGCCACTATGCCCGACTAATTTTTTATTTTATTTTTAGAGACACAGTCTTGCTATGTTGCCCAGGCTGGTCTCAGATTACAGGGATCAGCCACCATTCCCAGCCCTCTTTCCTCATTTTGAGAATACAAAAAAATGCTTTATTCCACACATACATTTTTTTCTGTTTTGAAACCACTGCTGGCAATCATGACAACTGTATCTGGAGAGGCACCATGGCTCCCCAACAGCCAAAGTTCTATGGAAATGTAATTTCTTCCCAGGATTCAGAAGAAACTATAAACATTCATGGCTGGAACCTACTACAGTCAAAGGCATGGTACTATTTTTCCTTCTCATATAGAAATCCTTTAAGAATATATGTAATTCATCCTTATATTCTGCAACTGCCTGGCACACTGGAGCTTCCTGATAAATGTTGAATGAATATATGATTAAATAGTCATAATTTAGTCTTCCAGCTAGAGGGATTATAGTCTAATTCATATTGGGCCATCAGAGTAACCTTGTTCTTAAGCACATGCTCAAGTAATTCCTTACATTTAGAGTGAAAAGCAAACAAATACAACTCACCTGTTCAAAAAATAATTCTGAGAAATCACATATTAGGTACTTCAAAAATTGGAATAGCCTCTGACCAAGTATATGACTAAGGCTAAGGTAACTCCAAAGCACATGAAAATGTGTTTTAAATATTAACGTATTTAAAGGAACTCTCCTGGACAACTTGCCTGTTCAAACTCCTCCATGTCTACTTCTCCATCTCCATTCAAGTCAAACATCTTGAAGGCAATTTCAAAATTTCTCTGAGGAGCTGCAAGTGGAAAGGGAGAGGAGGAGAAAGGGACGGAGGGAAAAGAAAAATAGTTAGATGGCACTGACCAAAAATAAATCCATTTTTAAAGAAAAACAAATGGATAAACACTAAAATGCAGTATCAAAGTCACAAAATATAACCGTATTTATTCAGGTCAACCTTTTAGGAATAAGTAAAACCACAAGGGAATTTTACTATGGCTAATAAAGATAGCACTTGTCTATCTTCGTATTTCAACACTCTTTTTCTTAAATACTTCAGCTTTGCTTTCTTAGACAACATCCTCTTAGCCATATACTATTAATGTTGTTGCTCTGTTTCTTAAACATAGTATTATTTATCTGGGTGAGAAAGTCTGTCTAGAGTGAGACATATTGCTGCAAAGTAAGAAGTGGAAACTCCAAGGCTTTGTCTTGCCCTTATAATAAGCTAGCTTTCTACTTGTTCTTTTCTAGTCTTTCCATTGCAACTACAATTAGGAGTTCTATCTATGCATGTCATTCTGCCAACAAGGATAATTTCAAGCTGTTTCCTTATATTAGTTTACTCATTATCACTAAGGCTCTATGGTAAGGTAGACAAGCACACTGTCAGCTATTCAGCCCTCTATTTCAATCATAGTCAGCTGCATACACAAATTACTGAGTAAAGTATACTTAAATGTTAAAATCAAGTTTAAGTTTAAAAAACAAAATGAAAAAATGCAAAGCTTGACAAGATGGTATATTTTCTTCCTCTTAAATGAATCATGAAAGCTCATCAAAGCTTCTTGGATGTAGCTAGATCAATCAAAACATAATTAATGTACTTTGTGCACTGGAATAAAATACAAACTTAACAGTCCTCCTCTTTTACCATGCTAAATGTTCCGGTAAAGAAAACTAAGTTGTTTACTACCTTCCTTTGGTGCTTCAAATTTATATAGATCTAGAGAATAGACCAAAATAAATATCCTATATATCCTAATAACATCGAATTAAAATTTCAGTTAATATCATTTTTACTAAAAAAGTAAAGATTATATAGAGATTAAAAAAGTAAAAATGAATTTTGTACATTATGCATAATTGTAGAGAGTTCATATTCCCATCTTGCTCATGAATTTATCAATAGCAACACCTTCTGGACTTAAATTCCATTTTCAGACAGCTAGCCAGATAGACTGGTAAATTCCTAGTTTTTAGTTGTCCAGGTGAATCACGTGTCTGTCAGCTACAGTCATCTGCCTCACTTGATAATTGGCTTCCAAAAGGTTTGTTCCTTAGGCCACAACTACAATTGCTGAGATGGATGCAGCTGGAGGAATTAGATTTTGGTATATTTATTGCTACTTCTCAAATTTTTCCTAACTTTCCTGATTGTTATCTTTTACTAAGGAGTTACTATGTGCTAAGCATTGAGCTAGATAATTTCAAGCTGTTTATTATTTGATTTTTATACTTTTAATCCTGAAAGTTTTTATAAACAGGGAAGGAAATTGGGGCTGAAAGCAATTAAATGACTAGCTCAAAAGCACACAACTCATATGTGGCAGAACCAGAAGCTTAACTTAGGCCAACACTGATTCCAAAGCCTACAAACTTTTCATTATGCTCCACGGCCTCCAATAAGAATACAGAGGTACTTATAATAATAAACACATACTCTTCATGCTGACATGTTTTGACCTTGAAACAGAACAGCAAAAATGATTCACTGGTTTTGTCAGTCTCTGCAATAGCTGAGAGTTCCACATTGCTCATCTCAAGGAGATACCCAAAATCAAAGAAATATTGCATGTATTATGCTCAGTAGTTTAGGCATGGCTGTACTAAATGGAGACCCACAGGCACATTAAATTCTCAGATAGATTTGTCATATGTCTTTTTTTTTTTGACAGGGTCTTATTCTGTTTGCCCTGGCTAGAGTGCAGTGGAGTCATCATGGCTCACTGAAACCTCAAGCTCCTGGGCTCAAGTGATCCTCCCGCCTCAACTTCCCGAGTAGCTGGGATTATAGGCCTGAGTCATCATGCCCGGCCTGTCACATGTTTTTTTTTAAAAACTCTGAATATAAATCTCTTTAGATAGAAATGCACTCTCCTATTCTTTCTTACAGTCTCACACTCGGTCTGCTTCACTCATGTATGTCATTTGCCTAATCCTTGTAGATACTTGAGATTGTAAAAATGGCAGACTCTATGAAGCCACAGAAGGTTTTGAGTAGGAGAGTGACACAATCAGGCATTTATAAAGGAATTCTCTGGCTACTATGTGAAGGGTGAGTTGGAAAAGAAGAGGCAGCTTCAGAGAAGATCACAGAAGCTCTTGTAAATGTTGAAAATGTGAACTGAGGTGATGGCAGCGGTAATGGAGAAGAGGGAACAAATCCAAAGTACTTTAAGAAGGCAGAAATTATATAACTAAATGATTAGTTAGTTGTGATGGGTTGAAGAGTGAAAAGGGATGACAGCATAACTGGCTTAGACTACTGGGTAGCTTGCATGTCATTAACCGTGAGATAAAACAGATGTAAAAGGTTTGAGAAATAAAACATGAGTTCAGATGGGATCTGCTAAGTTCAAGGAGTCCATAGCTTATTCAGATCGAGATGTTCAAGAGATAGTTGGAAACACGGATCTAAAGCTTAAAAGAAAGAGGTTAAAGCTGGGAGTTATTGGCAGATATCTGGTTCGCTGCAAAGAGCCAGAAATGAAGTTGCCCAAGGAGAACTGAGGAGTGAGAAGGGTGAGTAAAGAGGAGAATGCCGGTGGAAACCAATATTTAAGGTGTAAGGGAAGGGAAAGAAAGCGGTGACAGAGAAAGTGGCATGAGGAGGAATATAGTCCAAATTAATAGAAACAGGAAAAAATTGGTGAGAGCCAAGTCACTGTGCTCCCATGAATTAAAGCAGGATTTTCATTCGCTATCTCCATTGATTATATAGGTTACACGGAGTGCTTAAAATTTTAGCTTTATAATAATCTTTTACTCTTACTTTCCAGTGAGTTTCATGAAAGCATGTACCCAGATCATTTAAATGACTGAATGAGTTATTCTAGCAAATCATCGTTAACATTTCTTCCTACAACTAAAGTTAAATTCATTTTACCAAACAAAGTACACCCTGTACTGCTTAAGGTTTCTTCTCTTTTTATCCAATTTAGTTACTTTCAAATGGAGAACTTGCTTTATGTGGAGCTACTCAGAATGCTTATTAAAGTATATGGGCTGACACTTCAGAGGCTGTGCTCCTGTGCTCTGGTTACTGCTGAAGCAAGTTGGGCGGCAGCCTTGCACATTCTCATTTAGGTCTCACCAGCCATCAGGGAAGGTATTCCCAGAAGGAGCTCTCAGCCTGTTCAGTCTTCATCTGCAATCACGTCAAAGCATATGAGACAAACAAGCCCCAAACCAGCTTGCTTCAGTGAAACATGCTACACAGAATATGATGTCAAGCCATTCTCTTGTAAACAGCCTTCAGGGTAATTTTTAACTCTAGCTGTTTTGGAAAACTTTACGGTATCTTGTGTTTATGCTAACTCACAACCTGTTTCCAAGAAAGGTTCTGAGAAAGGAATTCTTTTAAAACCTATACTTGGAGTGAACAGTGAAGCTTTCCCCGCCTGCTGAAAACAGCATAATTTGCTTTCTTTTTTTTTTTTTTTTTTTTTTTGAGACAGAGTCTCATTGTGTTGCCCGGGCTAGAGTGCTGTGGCGTCATCCTGGCTCACAGCAACCTCAAACTCCTGGGCTCAAGCGATCCTCCTGCCTCAGCCTCCCAAGTAGCTGGGACTACAGGCATGCGCCACCATGCCCGGCTAATTTTTTCTATATATTTTTAGTTGTCTGATTAATTTCTTTTTATTTTTAGTAGAGACGGGGTCTCACTCTTGCTCAGGCTGGTCTTGAACTCTTGAGCTCAAACAATCCGCCTGCCTCGGCCTCCCAGAGAGCTAGGATTACAGGCGTGAGCCACCGCGCCCGGCCATAATTTGCTTTTTATACATTGATTTCCAAAATGATATTAACAAATGTTGGAACTAATTAAAACAATAAGATTCTATGCAAGGTTAATTACTATATACCTTTTACCTGAATTTGCATAACAATCTTTGCTACTAGGATATGGAGCAAAGGATAAGTCTAGGATAAGTCTGTTCTGGCTAAGAATCTATGTTTATAATATTATTCTGTCATTAACAATAATGATAATAACATTAAAAACTCTAGGCTGTTCCCTGAAACATATTATTTTTTCTACTTTGCTTTAGTAAGAAAAAAAGCATCTTTCTCTATGTGTAGTTAGTCAAATAATCAGATAGCAACAACACTAGCTGTCTTGAGACTTTCACGGCTGTTTCACTTACTGTTCTTTAATAGAAAATGCACAAGATTAGGGCTCTAATTCTGGCTCTTCCAACAACATGAATCATTTGCTGCCTTAAATTCTTTTTTTGGTAGTACTGACAGAATGATGAAAAAATGAATAGGTTGGATTCTAAACAAGTCTCTGATTTTCTGTTGGTTTGATTCTACCACAAAAGAATTTCTACCTATACCATTCCTGTTTAAAAATGATGATGTAGAATAAATGAGGTAATTAATATGCAATAGTAGAGAAATCTGAGTTAGGAAAAAACTTTAGAATATGATGCTCTATTCAATGATGACCTTTCTACTGAATTTGTAAGGATGATCACATAGCCTCTGTCTGGTTATTTCTGAGAGAGACGTCACCATTTCTGAGGTCTAAGCATTGCTGACCATATTAATTGAGATTTTTTCTCATTCAGAGCCCAAATCTGCTCTGTGTAGCTCCTACAAACTATCATAGTTTAATTTTTAAAAAAATAAAAAATATATCTGTTTCCTCACCTATATATTATGGCCCTTTGAATAAATACACTATTATCACGTCTCTACTAAGGTTTCTCAGAAGCTGCTTTCAGAACTTCAACATCAGAATAGCCCTCCTCTAGGGTACTCTAAATGGTACTTCCATAAATGCGGTATCCT